GTTATAAACTATCATGTATACTTATAAACATTATCTATACTAAATATTATAAAGGGAAAAGATTTGTATTGTTGGATTTTTGTATGTATAGAAATAACTCAAAAACTACTTGGCTGATTTTAATAATTCTAGCACCATTAAAAAGCTACGTAACCATTGAGTAACATAGGCTACTTTTTTCTATTCTACGCTGACGACGTTGCGAGCAACAACTACTATATAAAAATACTAAAAAGAGGAAAGATTTGTATTTTCGTATGTACTGAAATAACTCAAAAACTACTGGGCCGATTTTAAAATTTATTTCACCATTAAAAAGGTAATTTATTGTTCTTTTTTTATTTCACGGAGTCAATGTCACGAACAACAGCTAGTATTAAGGTCAAAGATACTTTAAAGAAATAAAAGTACTGAATTATAACATACGTGTGACATGAGCCACCGGGACTGCAAATGTGACGGGCGGAGCTACGTTGACGTTATTTGCAGAGCAGACCGCTGCCAGGGCGAACAGGATCATTATTGACCACTTCATATTGTCTCTTGTTACGTTTGCAGTCTAAAAAACTTCTATAAACATTATATACTAACGTACTAACGCGTCACAAATTAAGAATTAATAACCAATTAACCGAACTTTCCTTCATTAAATGCATTTGTAATTCAAAATTAAAATTTCAATCCTACTAATTTGAAATGAATAATACATAAGGGCTATTCTAAACTATCAACGTTTAAATAATGTAAATGGCATTAAAGCTTTTTAGTGGTTCGCCTAAGGCCCATACCAATCTATTTAAAAATATGTTATATCTATTTTTTTTCCTTAGCAATTGCTATGAATTAAGAATCTGATTCCCGTAGCAGTATTAGGGTACCTAATTATGAGAACCCTAACAATAGATGTGGAGAATTACTTCATTAAAAACAGATTTGAATAAAAACCGGATCAAATTAGTGCGTGCTTTCAAATGTCTCTTAATTAGGTCGCCATTGCGTTCTCTCATGTAAGCGTTTCACTATGGAACACTATGAACAAAATATCACTCATGAATTTAATAAGGCAAAAATAGGAAGAATAGGTTTACTTTCAAATATTCAAAACAGAGTAAATTACATTTATTAAAAAAGCTTTTAAAAAACACTTATTTTTAGTATGTGATTAAGAAATTATAGAAGACTAGCACGAAATTTTTTAAACAGTATTCGTTTACGTAAAACGTAATCGACAAATTATTCTGTCATAAAATAATTGTCGATGACGTTAGGAAGTACTCGCAGATATCAAAAAAATCTCAGCTAGGACCTCAGTTTTCATATATCATTATTTTATACATTGGTCTCTTACAAAATGTGACATATATTGCTTAAATAGTTTTCAATAAGACTAATATGGCTTTCGTTTACTTTGAGTGTTACTAATTTCACGTTACCTGCCACCGCAAATTATTGTTTACCCTAATTTGTTACGATTAGCCACGCTAGAACTGTAAGAAACGAATTACTGCTTTCTATAGTAACAATGTTGGAATAAACAATGTGAAGTTATAAGACTTTTTGAAGTATTTAAATCACTTCTAAGTTTCCGAAATTATCTTTATCATTGTCTCATTAGGCGTTAACAAATTCAACAATAGACGGTTAGCTTCCTGTCACTATGAAGCACGTTTGATGTCACGAATGGCAGGAAGGCTTGAGGTAGGGGGGCTGGAGGTAGGGGGCGCCACTTCTGTCGGATCACCGCGAACAAAGATTTAACTAAGAGACAAAACATGCTTACTTAAGGTTGTTACCTTTTTGAACATACAGGATGTCCCTTTTTCAGTTATACGCTTGTCTTACTTTTACTGAGAGTTATCTATACTAGGCGCAATAAAATTTTTAAAAATGTTATGTTCGTAGTTATATAGAAAACTGAAAATTATAGTTTTAAATGGCTAAGAAAACAATATTTAATTGTCATTTAAATGAACAATTTCAATGATCCCCTGTAAAAAATACTAAGCTGTGATGTTTTTTCCACACCACATATCTCGTCATAGAGTATGGGAAACCTTACATACCGTTACATTACTGTAAACAGAAGAAAATGAACAAAATGAGAACACGCTGTATAGCGCCCTCACCTCGCGCTATTGTGTCGGAGTCTGCCACAAGCACGGCCTAAGTTGGGAAAGTTTTTAATGAGCCCTCTCTTATATAATCTATGTTGTATGGAACTTCTTAACCCATACATTTTTAAATACATAAAATTATCTTTTAATATACTTACATAGAGAATTACATAATTTAAATCGAATTTACAAGGTTACAAGATACCTACGAGCATAATAAATCATGCCTCCATGACGCATTCTAAAAAAATACCGCGTCTATTCGAAGCAAGGAGACAGGGAGAATACCTTTTCGGCTCCTGTTTCAGAAACCCATAGATTGCAATTTAACCGAGTGGTGGACCGCAACAATAATAAATCACCCCATAAATCCAGCAGTCGCAGCTCGCGGCCATAACCGATCCCGCATACACTTCATTCGTCATTTCTTTATCAGCAAAAAAGGGCAAGCAATATCCACCTTCGGAAAAATGAACGCAAGCCGCCCTACGACCTCCAAGACAACTATTTATCGCGGTAAAAAAACAGACCGTAAATCATTGTTATATTCTATCTGGCAATCTTTAAGGTGAGGCGCAGTAAATAAAAAATAATAGGCAGGAAAGAAAACAACTTAATATCTAAGTTATCTGCTTTAAAGTTAGGACATTCTCAATAATGCAATCGTAGACGCTTCATTAGCAAACAGAAGGTATCTATTTCCTAAATAACTAGACACAAAAGGATAGCTCTTAGGATGACGTATTTTTCACGAGCTAAAACGCCTAATTTCGTTAAGATTTAGTAGTGCTAAGTAAACTAAGTCACGTACATGTGCTATTGAAATATTTACACTTTAAAAATAATTAATAGAAAATCTAATTCAGCGTCGTAACTATAACTATATTTATACTAACCGAAGAGAAAAAATAGCACTGTAAATTATTACTTATGTTCTTAAGGACGCTTATTTACCGTACAATAACAATATCACCTCCATTTCCTATTACCACATTGTTTATTTACTATCTTCTCTTGATAGCAAAAACAAATTTCTCAAGATGAAGTAGCGAGACGTAATCGACAAGCTCCACGCAATTACCGCACGCGGCGCGGCAAAGATAAAACAATGACAACCACCACCCTGGCCCAGCCCCGGCTGTACCCCGCGACTTATTCACATACAAAGCCACTTGATGCCCGCAATTAAAATCTTAACATATAGGATTAATAAACACCACCTTGATTAGGGATGTACCTCACTTTAACAATTTCATATCGGTAAATCAGTCAAAACACAATGGTACACATTACCAACGAACATTGAATACAACGAAACGCTTCATATTTAATTAATAATATTTTGTGCAAACGGATTAAAACATCCACCAAATCTATCTAATATTTTTTAAAGAAAACTGTAATTTGCCATGTCCGTATGTAGGGATATTGTAAGCTCAAGTGTCAAATACAAGATATAAGTTCGGTATTCTCGCCGGAAATTATTTTATTAGAATTGTCAATTGAATTAATTTATCGATATCGAATAACACATCACTAGCAATCCTAACAAACATCGTTAAGAGAGAGGTAGGACGTCTTTGAATTAAATTACACCTCGCTAACTCCAAACAATAATCTTTAACATTTCTCCACCCCTTCCCCCGTGTCCCACCCCCATAAGCCTCCGACGACGTGTGGAGCGTCTTACCGACTAAAGATAGGCCGATAACGAGTGGTTTTATGTGTAAGGTGTATGACACACTATTAGCGTTAAGATAACAAAACATGCGCCATACGACTCAGTTAGACTCAACTGCGTAGACGAGACATCTGACGGAGGAATTGTAATGTTTGCTTAACAACTTAGTTAAAACGCCGTCTATATTCCACGCTACACGCTTACGAACAGATTTAAGTTACAATTAAATGAAAATTATCAAACGACCCTCTATAAAGCCAACCGTCATTCTCTCAATGTCAAGTAGAAACAATACTTTTGTACCTAACTATATTAGTTTTTTTTAGGAAATTGGGCAGATTTAGAGAATGGTAGTTAATGTTTTCTACTTTACAAGTTGTCACTCTTACTTCTTACTAATATTATAAATGTGAAAGTTTAGATGGATGGATGGTTGGATGTTTGTTAGAGCTTGTGGCCTAAACGGCTGAACGTATTTCGATTAAATTTGGCATAGACATAGAGGATAGTCTAGAAGAACACATAGGCTACTTAGTTTTGTTTTTTTATATAACGCGAACGGAGTCGCGGCCGAAAGCTAGTAAGAGATAATTTTCTTTTGAGTTTTCTCAAAAACGTGTAAGCGTAACGTTGTAACGTTTACAATAAAGTGATTGTTAATCTTTAAACAGTAATTGTCCAATATCAGTAGTTCATTTAAGGTCTCGCTTGTTCGCTTGTTGACAAAGGTGCCCTAACCCGTTACTTAAGCCGACCTCAATAGTAGTTGAATTGCTTAATTGAGCAAGCGATCCAAAAGGGCCCAACTATCTTAATTATTAGCAAGGTGCTTAAGGGTTGAATTTACGATGTGTTAATACGACCCGATATACGTCGCCGCCAATTGCTCCAACCCTTAAATTAAATTTACCTGAGGGTATGCGATCCCTTGTTGCCAACATTAAGCTAAGTATTATAAGTTATATTAACTTAATGTGAATTTAAACATCTAAAGTAATATTTGTATCTGTTCAATATAAATTCAATCAGGAATAAATTCCAATAAATAAAACATTCTTTTGTAAGGTAAATGTTTATTGTATCACTGATATTATTTATTAATATACGTATACATACAGACAAATAGCCGTTAGTAAGAAATATCATATGCCATAGTTGCCCACGGCAGTAGAGATACTCGTAAATTTCAAACATCGATGGCAAGGTTAACGACCCCTGCAGTACCAGTACAAGCGCAAGCTAAGAAAGTACACGATCTCCGTAAAGCTAAGTACGCTGCAGCCCAAGAACAGGCCCGCCATACCGCCCACCGCCACTGAAAGACATTTCAAGGTCAAGGATTCAGTACACAGAAGGTTAAAGAATTATCAACACTCACCAAGTACATCAGTAAATCCAAAGATGATGTCTCGTCGGTACCTCATGCGCGGGTAAGTGACGATACCCCACTGCAAGTTGGTACCCAAGAACCACTCTTGACGTGTCTGTGATAATTTCACATTTTTGATATTGGAATTATTTATTTTAAAGGTTTAAAAGAATTATTTTCAACTGATACTAACATTTGTTTGTATGACATAGTTGATGTCGTCGCAGATCGGGTAACACTCACAGCTCACTTTTCTACCGGAATCATCACGAAGTTTGTACAGTATATCTAAAATTATAGCGCATTATAATTTGCACAGATTTCTTACTTGTGGATAAAGCTTTAATTTTGTGATTTGCGTACCTTTGTAATTTGCCAAACAATGCAAGCCATCAATATCACAAGTTGTCTCATCGCCTGCAAGAAATAAATAGCAAAATTGTTTTTTTGATAATTTGAGAATTGAGGACTATTTAAGTGAACGAATCTCAAGGCGCTTAATTTTCTCTGTAGTCACAGATCAACTCACGGATTCTTCTGTAGAAATGTGGTACACAGCCACAATACTCGAGGCAGAGTTTTATACGACACTCCATTCGGCACAAGGTGTACGTGTAGATGGCATTGTGCTTTAGATTGTTCTCGTGGGGAAATCTACAGCGTCGTTGTACAATTCTTAATCTGAAAGACGGATAATACGAAAAGTTATATTTTGTGGGTAAAGCAATTATAGGCAGATACAAATTACGATTGGGATTATTTTTTTAGTAGTTATATAGTGTAAAGTATACTTAGCCGCTTCCGATGACGTGTAAACGGTCACAGCAGTCACATAAATCTTCATATAGAAATTTTTCGATGATTTTTGATATTTAGTTGAAATATCTGGCACTTCGTGTGGACCATGGATGTACACCTAAAACACGATCATGATAATAATATTTTTGAAAAAAAAAATACAACAAACGTATAAAATAAGATTAACTAAAAAGTATTTTACAAGTTAGAAATTTACTAACATTGTAGGAAGCCGAGATGTTAATGAGCTGAGCGAAAACCTCTCCATCAAGGGGATGAATGAAAAACGTTTCGTTCTCATTTTTCACGAGATTCCACCTATCAGCAGCTCTGTACCTGATGATAAACTTATGATGAAACACAAAACGGTCAAAAAAACATGAGATCCGACAAAGAATTAAAAACATACTTGGGTGAATTGTAGATAGCAACTTTAGAATTGAAAGAATAACAAAGACCCATCTCGGTGATGGTAGGTTCGAGGCCGAGGCTGACGCCAGCGGCGCCAATGTTGATGTCCGGCTTAAAGTCCGGGGCAATATCGAGGATCAGGCGCATGTAGTGGTCAGCAGGTACCGCTCGGTAGCGCGGCAGCGAATCGAATGATTGAAACGACGCATTCGCCAGTGCTTTGATGAATTCTCTCAACATTGATTTGTCAGTCTCCTCTGAATTTCTGTTAGTTAAAACAATTGATTAACACAAACTGTTCATGCTCTTATTCTGCAGAAACTTTAGAAGAAAGAAAAGTATTTGGGCTATATATTAGATACCTAATATAATTGTCAAGTTTGCCTTCATCGACCTTATTTCCGGTGCATATGGTGATGGCTGGGAATGTGGTGTTCCAGGCAAACATGTCCCGCTCCATAGAGACAACGGTAGGCGAGGATTGGTACCGCATCCATGTCGTCTGTGAGAGATACATCGCGCCGAATAAGGACAGACAAACAACTGATAACCATAGAAAACTGCAGGAAAGAAAGAAAGCATTGTTTACAGTAACAAAAAAAGATGAAGCAACTTTTTAAATACCAACATTTCACAAGGATGTCGCCTTGGAGCCACGAAATGGTTTAAACCATGAATAGATGACGTTTCAAAAAATAATCTTAGATATGATTTCGTTTTGTTTATTAAATTTAAAACGGATTGTTTCTTGCCAACACCACTTTTATGGGAACTCATTCTTTTACTGATAGATCAATTTAGAGTGCTTTAAATTGTCTGCTGTATTTGATATGTGAGAATATAACACTCAAGCCTGTGACAACATGAGGACTTAATGAAATGTAGCAACGAAATCGTACATACAACATATTGGTTATCGTGACAATAGACAATTACAAGAGTATTACGATTGTATCGCCTCAATCAGTTCATGCTTGTAACAATATTGCGGACGAAACGAATACGATTATCCCTTTCAATATCTGTTATACTAATTGGTACTTTACCGTCATTGATTTAATAATTAAAATTGATTGTAATGGTGAAGGTATCAGTAACAGTACTTGTGTTAGCGTGTCTATAATTGCTACATTAATATTGATGAGGTCGCAATTTATTAGGTTTGTAATATTTGTTAGTTTTGAGCATTATGTTATCTTGTTACATGATGTAACATTGGATAAAATACTAAAAAGCTATAAGTTTGATACTTTCCAAATAAACTTCGTCGCATTAAAAGCTGTATTGAAAAAAAACTGTTTGTAAAGAATCAGCCGCAATAAAATAACAAAAGTTTTTCTAAAATGAATTAACGTTAAATGAAAGTTGCTTTTTCAATTACCAAATCAAATAGAAACAGAAAACGAAATCTGACAAAAGAATTACATCACGTAAAAGGTAAACAAGAACGTTACCTCCGAGCCTCGGAGCCTGAGAGGAGCAAAGCCGCTGTAAAGTCTAATAATTTCCGAAGTGTCATGTCGTCGGGAAATAAATGAAGTGGAGAAAATAAATTTCATTTAAAAATCACGGCGGACCATTATTTTCTCCAGCTTCCCCTAATTAATTTCTTGTCACCGTCTAGATCGGCCGTTGTGGCCGTGACAGGGACAATGATAAGGACGGGTTTACGTCTAACCTACGAGAGCGAAAGAGACGGCCGTATTAAGGTAAGTGTGCTTCATTACCATCTTTCAGTAGTTAGCGGAAGCGAGATACGAAGTTTGCTCCGGTCGAGTTCTGCTCGCCTGGTACTCGTTATTAATGACCGTTAGGAATAAATACGAAATTTTCTCAAAGATTTTCCTCCTGTAAAGAACTGCCACGGGTTATTAAAGCAGCCAAAGAAAGTTGAAGAAAAAAAATAGAAGGAAAACCATTTTTCTTACTATTTCCCAATAATCCAATGTAAATATTATTAGTATTCTTTTTGATGTTACTTCAGTTAGTTATATGCTATTAAACAAAGTCAAGGAATTAAACAAATTTAGGGCCTGTCCCACCACTGGCTGATAGAGGTACATAGCTTAAAAGTGACGTCACTGTCAGATTCTTCTTCTCTTTCGTATCTTCATTGCTGAAGGTCGTGCTTGCCCTGGTAAGCCTTTACCGTTTCATCTACCAGCTGCCTCCACGCCGCCCTGTCTTCGGCTCGTCTCAGGGCAGTCGGGATGTTGAGTCCCAGTATGGACTGCACCTGATCGGTCCATCGGGTAGGTGAACGCCCTCGTGACCTTTTGCCCTCGATTTTTCCAACCACTACCAGTTTGTCCAGATTGTCCGGTTGTCTTCGAGCAATATGTCCAAAGCATCCCAGAACTCGTCGGTAGCATATTGTGGATAGCCTGGTAGATATTTTTAATTGTTCGAGAATTGACTTGTTCGTTCTTTTTGCAGTCCACGGTATACGCAACATTCGCCTCCAACACCACATTTCGAAGGCATCAATTTTCTTTCGGTCGGCTGCACGAATTGACCACGATTCGGTCCCGTACAAAAATATCGAGAAGACCAAAGCACGCACGAGTCTGGTCTTGGTGGTATTTGACACTTTCCTGTTTTGCCATATTCTAGTTAGCTTACTCATTGCTGCTTTGGCCATCTGTGTACGTCTGCGAATTTCTCCGTCACAGCTTCCCTGATTATTTACCAACGAACCTAGGTACACGAATTCGTTTACGAACTCCAGGTCTGACACTGTCAGATAGAGTACCAAAATCCTATACTTTCATCACATATTTTATATGTTGGATTGTTATCTGACAATTTACAAGAATTGTGGGATAGGGCCTTAATGTAGGTGAAATACGAAGTACTTTCTAAGTATTATTATTGCTTCTAACATTATATTAGACATTTACCTTTAATGAATTTGAATGAACTGCCTTGATAAAACATTACGTTCATCACAACGAGCACATGAACGGTGCGGGGGCGCAAGGCGTAGAGGGGCGGAGGGGCGAACACACGAGATATAATTAACAAGCTTAATTTTCTTGTACGAGTTGTATTCGAGATGTGCCTGAAGAATGTTTACAGAAAGTAGCGGGTAAATATTGCCACTGGAAACGTCGAGGTAGAACTTTGCTAGGCTAACATAACGTGGAGGTGGAATTACTTTTATATTCAAAATAAAATTATAGAAGACTCTCAGTACTTAAGATTACATTCAGTGTCAACAATAGATATCAGAGGAACAACAGATGAGTTTGTCTTTGTTGTAACGTTCATGATTATACATGGCTTATTTAATTATTCATCAAGAAATCTAGAAGACATTTAATTCTTATTTCTTATAGATTAGGGCTGTACATTTCATGATTAAGTCGTTAAAATTAATATAAATGTCTTACTCCATACTAGCTGAGCTTCGACACCGCCACTTAATTTGAATATCCGGCACAACTGAGTGTTTAATAAAACATTCAGTTTGATTTACATCCTTACAAATCCGTACCTTTTGCGCTTTATTTAGTGTAAACACGCCCTTACAATGTTGCCCAGAGTTTCGTGGAGTCTTCATTTTGCGTTTTCAATTTTGTTAGCGATTACACAATTTGAATTTTCAGTTTAATTGAGTTACTGGAGTGTTTGCTCGCAGCTTTATTGAATACCTTTTAAATTAATAATACAAGTACACGTTGGGATATCTCTTTCATTGTTTTAATTTAATGTTAGAGATAAAATAATAATGAAACGAGACATAGCTTAAAAAATGTTTAAGAAAACACACCGAAAATTTCGACTTGTCGTTAATTTAAGGTGTCTATGAAAAAGTTAAATCAAAAGAATAAAATGTCTTCTTTTTATATTTAAAGAAATGCTAATGCAATATCTTGGTTGGTAAGTTCACCTCCAATATCGGCGTTAGCGTGTACACAAAGCGGAATGTTTTAGAGGCAGTTAGCAGTGCGATCTGCGAACTGCGAGGCAATAAGGCGCAGGCAAATTGCCTCCTGCGAGGTAACACCTCCTAATAAAAATTCCTGCAAATCAATACGTTCTCCTTTACGCTTTTTGTATTGTATTTTATTTTGTTATTCGCCTCCGCCTCGTGTTAAAGGGACAATACTGGGATCTAGTATGTGTAGCGCGATTTAATGGTCTTGATAGTTGCATTTGTTAAATGCTTAGGGGCAAGTAGTGCAAAATTAGAAATCAGAAATTAGAAATAAATGTATAAAAGATTAAGTATAGAAATTACAATAGTTTCCACTTCCAACTGATGATATATTGGTCCACATTGGTACTTAAGTCAGTATTTAATACATAATAGGGATTTTTTATTAAAAAAAAACTTTTCAATTCATAATAACACCAAATAGTTGCTAAGATTAGTTCTCTTAGATCATCTTAGTATTCAAGTTTTTATTGTATTTATAATCAAGTATCAAGCATATTTGCTCACGTTACAAAAGCAACAGTAAATGGAATACACGTTGGATTCCGCGTCCTGTGTTTGCGATTTGCATGGCGTGCGCGTGTGTGTGTGCGTGTACCGACACATGGCCGCGCGTGCGTGTGCGTGCCGATTGACATAAAGGAGCTAAATGCTGGGGGCTGGATCGTTTGAAACGCTTAGCACCAGTATTTATTGGCACGTACAGGATAGGCAAAAATTCCAATAAAAGTCCTCGGGAATTTCGATGGAAAAGAATAATGTTTAATTTGTCCGATGAGAGCGGACGACGAGATTTATGTTCTCTTCCTATTTGTGCCGTTTGACGACGAATTAAACGTTCCTTTGCGATCCAATGGAGTTTGTCTGTTTATACGGATTGCTGCGTAGGAGGACTCCAATGAATAACATAATAACATTTCTAAGAGAACACTTTAAAACGAGAATAAAGCACTTCCTTGCATTATAATAAAAAAAAGATTATGATTAAACCAACAAACAAGAAAATTACTTACTTATCATAGGAAAATTAAAAATAAATTAGCTTTATTAGGCGACTCTACCATCAGTCTGTGACTCTTAGTAAAGAAAACATTTACATTTAAACTAAATAAAAACTATAACATATCAAAACTAATTCCCTACAAAAAGCCATACAGGACAGTTATGACACATGTCGAGTGACGTGACATGACGTCGGACGGAAGCTGACGGCTGGATTTAACTACTTTGTCGATGTCATAGAAACTGTATTAGTTTACAATTACGTGACTTGCTTCTATACAAAATCCTCGGTCACTTATGGATAATATAGCACAGATGGTCGGAGCTAAGGCGTATTTTTTAAATACCTTAACAGTACCATGCAAACACGAGTAAAATATCATTTTTAAGCTTCCCAAGACATGAATATAAACAATTCACTCCCAAAAATGTTATAATCTTGTGTAAAAAGTGTGTACAAAACGGTAGACAAGAGAAATTATCTGATTATCTGGCGCAGATGGCAGTAAAAAGTAAGTGAAGTGTACAACGCTCACCTCAGCTAAATGCAATTAGATTCGTCTCGGGAGACTGACGCGGACGCCGCTCATAGACCAAGAGCCTGCCAACAAAAACACTTAGTACAATTCTTCAGGAATTATCAAACAAAATCTTTAAGTTATTTCTGAGTCACATATATGTTAAAATTTAATTTAAACAACCAAATACAAAATAATAAGTTTCATGATAAGTTGTTAATAATATATAACTACTGAGAAATATAAAAAAAGAATACATGTCGGCAGTCCAATATTATTATCGTAAAATATTATAAATAATGAACCCAGATAATAATATTTTAAAGAGCAAGTAATGGTTTGACATACTTAGCTCTTAAACTATATGGACCCCGTCACTGATTTACATATAAATTGTAGCTAACTCACGTGGCGTCTCTTACTTTTAACTGCTGTAACCGCACTCCAGCGACCTCCCCCACATCCCCCACATCCCCCAACCATCCCCGAGCTTGTTGCGACCTTTATCCGACTTCATTTACAAAAATACACAGAATTATTTTACGTATGTACTTATCTTTATTATTTCCAGAGAGAAAACACAGAAATGCTCGTGAGATTCGTATGCCATAGATGTCAAGAAAAACGTTGAAAGCCTACATTTGCCCACCACTAGGTTTCTTAACTTCATTGTATCCCCAACATTTCAATTTAACTATTACATATATATTTTACGCTAAACTTATACAGAAAAAAATACAGAAACATTCATTCAATTACATTAAGAAAACATTTTGATAACAAGTAAAAGGTATTTGTTGTGAAGGCACGTGAAATACCTTGGCCATTGTAATCCATCGCCATCATTCTCAGATATTCCGAGACATTCATCAAGATTTGTCGTGCGTTTCGTACACTCGCTGTCACAAAAACTGGAAAGAAATATATCGTGGAGTTAGTGGACAGTGTAATTCAATTTACTAAATGAGATTTTCCGTCGAGTTACCTGCGACTTCGCCCCTTCATATCATGTTATCTTGTAAGATAAAACTTATTACGATCTTCTGATATTTGAGCCAA